GGGGGAGAGACAGGTGTGGAGGGGGAGAGACAGGTGTGGAGGGGGAGAGACAGGTGTGGAGGGGGAGGAGAGACAGGTGTGGAGGGGGAGGAGAGACAGTTGTGGTGTGGGGAGAGACAGGTGAAAGGGGCCCCATGGGCTGGCCAGTGTGAAAGAATGAGCAAGTACCTGTCCTAGTGAGAGACCTCATCTCAAAAAGCAAAGTGGACAGTTGCTGGGGAAGGATGCCAGCCAAAGTTATCCTCTGGCCTGCAGATGGATGTGCATACACACTGACACACACAGGAACATGGACACCCATCCACATATATGCACACGTGCACACTCACCCATAGACATGGACATCCTCCCTCTAACTAGCTGAATAGCATTGTCTTTAATTCTAACATCACTTGGGATTTGCAGAGCTTTGCCGGGACTGCAGGAACTACATGCCTCATATTCAGTTTGAATCTCTTTGCTCCTTCCTTCTGGATCCTTAGCTTCAGCGGCAATTTTAGGTATCTTTGGGTGCACTGTGGAACAGTGAGAATCTGATGTGAAGCCCTTGATGGATGAAGTGATCTCAGCTTCTCTATGTCTCCATTCATCTCTGGTTCAAACCGTGGCAGAAGGTGATACAGTATGGTTTTGCATTTCCCAACTGGAGCTGTGGCAGCTGGTCTCAGTATTTGACCTCAGCAGGGGAACCTGACATGCGAGCAGAGTTGGAAGCCATCTTTCCTCTGTTCTCTCTTTCCCTTCTTCAAGTCTGTTTATTTCCTTCAGACACTGAACTGATCTTTGTGCCATCTTATTGAAGATACTTGTTGGTACCATCATTGGGGTAAAATGGTTTGGAAAGGTTGGACTCTCGTTTTCTCCTCCTCCTTCTTCGGCCCTAATGAGCTTCCATGCACATGCACCTCTCCCCAGTCCTGTATAATCTAGTTTCTCCAGAGCAGCCCCAGAAGGCGCTGTTTTACTTTTCCAATGTTCTTCACCATAGAAATTGGACTGTTTGTTACAAGTCCATAGACTGGTATAATTACAAGAAGCATCTAGATCATCATTTGGATTCTGAATATTCCTTCAAGGGCCTGGGTGTTGAAGGTCTGGCCCCAGTGTGTTGAAACTTTAAGAGGTAGGCCTATGGGAAATCTTAGGTCACTTGGGGGGAATTGTGGCATTCTGCTCTTTTCCACTCTTTTGGATTTCCTCTTTGGGATCAGCGGCTTTCTCTGCCACATTCTCTCGCCACGATGTGCCACCACTGACCCAAAGCAATCAGTTGTGGATTGAAAGCTTTGAAACCAGGAGCCAAGGTAAACCCCCTCTTTCTATCAGTTCATCACCTCATTTTTTTATAATAGTAATAAAAGCCTGACTAACGTGTGCACTAATGATGGTGAGCTGATGGCCACACTTAAATGAGTGCACTCGATAAGTGACGCTAAGTTTAATATCCCATAGAAACATTACACAAAGACTTAATCTCTCCCTCCCTCCCTCACTCCTCCTCTCCCTGTCTCTGCTGAAAGCAAGCCAAGAAATTCATCGAAAGTGATTCTATGTAGTTTTAAGCTGTGGCCATTCCACCATTTAGTGTTTTTAAACCCAGCCCTCTCCCACATTCCAGAATGTCTGTGGTTGTATTTAAGTTCATAAGGATCTGGGACATTTTGCACCAATTTGAAACCTTCAACCTATGTGCTTTTTGGAGCAGTTGTATCTCCATGAATTTATCTTCAGAGAGGGGCCCACCCAAGTAGGCAAATAGCTGTTTTAAAAAAAAAGCAGCTCTTTATGGAGAATCCTAGAACCTGCTGGCTAGATCACCACCATTCCTGTGAATCTCCAACAGTTTCCTGCCTGTATTTGAACAGCAGTGAAACGTTTTGGTTTTCTACTACTGAGGGACTGAGAGTGTTCGGTTGTCTTTTCTACTCAAATCTAAGTTATATGTGTAGCAGATGTTTCCAGTTGTGTTAATGGCATTGAGTTTTGTGTGGGGTAAGATGCAGAAAACCAGAGCATAATTTGAGATCAAGCCAAACACTGCTGCTTATTGCTTTCAATGAGCAAAATTTGAACTCATGTTTCTAAGATACAAAACTTAACATGTTAGTATCTAGAAAATACAGTATGTAGGAGGTCATTCCCACCTGAAAACTCAACTGCTTTTTATGCATAAAACCATTACTTGATGAGAGCCCATTTTCTTCTAAAAGCTGAAGGGGTCTACTGCATATGTTCTTCAAAACTCAGAGAGCCAGCTCCTTCCACAGTGAGATGAAGCATTTCCTAACGAGACGACATCCTGAAAACACTGTTAGCACAGAACATATGGTCAAGAGCTGGGTAACTCATGCAGTATCTCCAGAGAAGAAGGACTTGGGGCCAAGTGTTATCACATTTCTCTGGGTTTTCCTCTCTCCTGGTGGGGATAGGAACTTGTGGTTTTATCATAAAGGGATAAAATGGCAAGGAATCATGTACTGGCTTCCAGTCACAGAGCAAAGCCATCCACATCTGTTTCTAGTATTCTGTTGAAGAATCTCTCCAGTTGATAATTTGGATTGGATGCAAATTGGTTTGTTTTCCTTGGTCCTTTCTTCCAAGCTCAGATAAAACAAACCTATCCCGTGGGTCCAAAAGTTTGCATTCTGAATTCTTGGTTTACGTGGTGCAGATTCCCTCTGTTACATTGCTAACACATTATCCATCTTGAAAAGAACAAACCTGGCAGGATTTATATTATATAAACTCCCACAACTGACTGCATTTTGTGTGTGTGTGTGTGTGTGTGTGTGTGTGTGTGTGTGTGTGTGTGTA